TACAAGAAGTGGCAAAAAACAGTCCCTGCCCTCAAACAGCTTTCAAGCTTCAGTTTCTTCATCTGTGAAACGAGGGATTTAACCAAATGTTTTCTGATGTCCCAGGCCTTCTCCAATATAGTTTGATCTACCTCTCCAGCCTTTTCTGTCACCTTTTGACAATCTATCCCAATTGAACTACTTGAGGTACAATGGAAAAAGCCTAGCTCTGGAGTCAGAGGACCTCAGTTCAAATTCCACCTGTAATGTTAACAACCTATGTGACCCTGGGTTGCAAACCCAAAGGCTGACCTTGGCCAGTCACTTCAGTTCCCTGGGCCTCAGTTTCTTCATCTGTAAAATTAAAGCGTCAGTCAGTCAACAAACACTTATTACGAGCCAGGCATTGTGCTGAGCCCTGGAGATACAAAGAAAGTTCCTGCTCACAAGGAGCTCACAATCTGTTAGAGGAAACAACATGCAAAAAACCTATGTACAACAGTAACAGCAACACTATCATGATCAACTGTGAATGACTTAGCTATTCTGAGCAAGACAATGATCCAAGACAATTCCGAAGGACTTATGATGAAAAATGCTATCCACCTCCAGAGAAAGAACTGATGGAGTCTGAATGCAGATAGATGGCAGAAAGTAAAGATATTTTCTTTATTTTTTTTTGGACTGTGTTTTCTTTTGCAGCATGGATAACATGGAAACGTGTTTTGCATGACTTGACATTATAATCTGTGTAAAACTGCTTGCCTTTTCAAGGACAGGAGGGAAGGGGGGAGAGGGAAAGAGAGAATTTGGACTACAAATTTAAAAAAAAAGAATTTCAAATTTTTTTACATATAATTGAGAAAAATAAAATAAAAGCTATGTACAAATAAGATATATACAAAATGAACTGCATATAATCAATACAGGGAAGGCACTAAAATTAAGAGGGATTGGGAAAAGCTTCCTATAGAAGGTAAGATATTTTCTGGAGCTTGATGGAAGCCAGGAAGCAGAGATGAGGAGGGAGAGAATTTGGGGCATGGGAGCTGCTGTTCAGTCATTTTTCAGTTGTGTCTGACTCTTTATAACCCCATTTGGGGTTTTCTTGGCAAAGACACTGTAGTGATTTGCTATTTTCTTCTCCAGCTGGCTTTACAGATGAGGAAACTGAGGCAAACAGGCTTAAGAGACCTGCCCAGGGTTACCCATTTAGTAAGTGTCTGAGGCCAGATATCAACTCAGGAAGATAAGCTTTCCAGACTCCAGGTCGAACACTCTATCTACCACACCCCCTCGCTGCCCTAAGGCATGGGAGATAATCTGTGGAAAATACCTGGAGTCAGAAGATGGCTGATACTGTTCAAAAGAACAAAGAAGACCAAAACAACATCACTACGCTAGAGTCAAGTTACAGTGCATCCAACTGTGGTTGACCAAACCAATGCTAGCTTGGAATGTTCTATGGCAGATCGGGCACAAATAGCCCATGTGAATATTTGGGGTGGATTCTTTAACTTTGCCCATCTTGCCTTTCTCTTTAGCTACTGGGATTCTGGTTTGCTCATGGAGCACTGCACCTTCAGAATGCTGGGTGGTCCCGTGCCAGTGTCTCCCATGTCACACAATCAATTGCAAAGTTCTTAAGAGAGACCTTCAAAGTGTCCTTGTATTGCTTTTTCTGACCACCATGTGAACGCTTGCCCCATAAAGCGGTCTTTTTGGCAAACATACTTTTGACTTAATTTAGTTCAGTCAGAAGAGCTTGTGCGAGGAACATCAAAGAGGCCAGAGTTACCGAATTACAGCGGGAGTGGTGTAAGGTGTAAGACTGGAAAGCTGGGGGTGGGCAGGCTTTAAAGGGCTTTGAACATCACACAGAGGATTCTGTACTTGACCCTGGAGGAGAGAGGGAGCCCCTGAACTTTACTGAGCAGGGAGGTGACGCGGTCAAGCCTGTGACTTGGGAAGATCACTTTGACAGCTAAGTGGGGGATGGACTGCATAGCTTCTGGGGTCCCTTCCAGCTCTAAGTCTGTGACCCTAGGAACCTACTGACCATCCTTCAGACTTATTCCAGCCTTTATCATTTCCTTTCCTTTACTCACAATGTCCCCTGTGCCATCCTTTACTATCTCTGTGCCTTTATTCACAATGTGCTTTGTATTCCCTCACTCCAATCTCTACATCTGAAATTCTTTCTTTCCTATCCTTTAAGGGCCAGCTCAGGCACGATCTCTTTCTTGAAGCCTTCCTCTATCTCCCCATCTAGAAGTCATTTCTCCCACCTTGAATCTCTCATTGTACTGTATATCTGCTCTTTGCATGTATCATGTTCCAACTCTCCCCCCTTGATTTTCTCATTGTATTCTATATCTGTTCTTTGCATGTATCACCTCTGATCTCATATTAGAGTTACTGATTTCTTTATCCTCTGTGCTTCTTTGTTGTTTGAGGGGAGGCTGAGATAAGTTATGAAATGTTCATCACCAGGTTGATTGCAGGGAGTTGAGCTTTTTGATCATTCAGTCAATTGACAAGCATTTATTAAATGCCTACTATGTGCCAGGCTCTTGTGTAGACACTGACGACAAAACATCACTTAAAGAACATCTGAAAGTCATAGAATGGTTTTGATCTTCATTAATGAAGAGGTACTTGAAATACTGAAATAAAATCAGTCAATAAATATTTATTAAGCACCTACTATATGCCAGTCATTGTGCTAAGCAACTGGGGTTACAAAGAAAGGCAAAAAGACAGTCTTGGCAGGCAGCGAGGTGGTGCAGTGGATAGAGCACCGGCCCTGGAGTCAGGAGGACCTGAGTTCAAATCTGACCTCAGACACTTGACACTTCCTAGCTGTGTGACCCTGGGCAAGTCACTTAACCCCATTGCCTAGCCAAAAAAAAAAGAAAGAAAGAAAGAAAGAAAAAGATAGTCCTTGCCCTCAAGGAGCTCACAGATTAGTGGGGGGGGACAACATGTAAATAACTATGTAGTATAAATAATAATAGCTAACATTTATATAGTGCCTACTATGTGCCAGGCACTGAAGATGAAGCATCACTTAAAGACTATCTACAAATCATAGAAGAGTTTTGATCTTCATCAATGAAATCATAGATCCTTGAAATATTGAAGTAAAGTCAGTCAATATATATTTATTAAGTGCCTACTATATGTCAGTCTCTGTGCTAATCATTGGCAATACAAAGAAATGCAAAAAGATACACCCTGCCCTCATGGAGCCCATTAACTAATGGGGGACACAACATGATCTGAACTCATGAAGAGAAGTCTTCCTGACTCCAGGCCCCGTACTCTATCCACTGTCCAATAGCTTCCCCTGGGCATATGGTAGATGCTCAATAATATTTTTGAAGCCTGATTGATTTCGTTATGAGGAAGGTAATTTCAGAGAACATAACGTATCAATTTGAAATAACTGATTTGCACAGTGGTTTGCATTAAGTAAAATCCTCTCCTATTTTGAACCAGTTAATCAACCAATCAACATTTAATAAGCACCAAGCACTGTACTAAATGCTGGAATATAAAGAAAGGCAAACATGGTCTCTATACTCAAAGAGCTTGAATTCTAATGGGGAAGACAACATGGAAATAACTCTACATATAAGACACAGTAGAGATGAAAAGTAAACTGAGAAGGAAAGACACTAGAAGCTGGGGGTACTGGGAAAGAGCTCCTGCAGATGGATTTTAGCAGAGTCTTGAGAGAAGACAGGGAAAGCCAGAGGTGGTGGTCAAGAGGTAGAAGAAACTCAGAAGTGGCCTGGGGAATGGCCAGGGCAAAGGCAGAGACAGAAGATGGAACTCAGTGTTCCAGGAACTGTAAACAGGCCAGTGGAGCTAGATTGTAGGGTGCAGGGAAGGGTGTAAGATGAAAGGAGACTTGGAAAAGTAGGAAAGCACCAGGTTATGAAGAGCTTTTAGTGCTCAAAAGAGGAGTTTATATTTGATCTTAGAGATAACATTACATCACTGGAACTCAATGAGATGGAAAGTCAAACCTACAACTTAAAAAAATCACCTTGGTAGCTGAGCGGAAGATGGATTGAAGTTGGGACAGACTTGGGGCCAATGGAGCAATTTGAAGGTTATTGCAATAATTTGGTAAGAGGGAATGAAAGCCTCAACCAAGGTAGAAGCTCTATCAGTGGTGAGCAGGGGACATACATGAGAAATGTTGTGAAGGCAGAAATGACAAGAGCTGGCAGTTGACTGGATATGTGGAGTGAAAAGAGCGTGAGGAGTCAGTGAGGATGATACTGAGGTTGTTGGCCTGGGTGACATCCAAGGGAAGGTTCAGGTAAGGGGAGTTTAGGGAGAAAAGTGGTGAGTTCTTTTTTGGATACGTTGAGTTTAAGATGCCTGTGGCATATCCAAAATCAAAGAATTTTTGAGCTGAAAATGACATTAGTGTTCACAGGATAATAGGTTAATATGGGAGGGACATTCCAGGTCAAGTACTCCAAACTCTTCTATTTACATTTCAGAAAACTAAGGAGTAGAGAGACTGAAAGACTTGACCAAAGTCACACAGCTAGTAAAAAAAACGACAGAGCCAGAATTTGAAACCAGGTCCTGTAACTCCAAATCTAGTATCTTTTTCACTGCACCAAGAGATCCACACTCATTTTTATAAAGGGGGAAACTGAGGTTCAGATTAGGGAAAATAAATTGTCCAAAATCACACAGAGAGTGAGTCAGTAGCACAGTTCAGACTAGAATCCAGGTTACTGGATCCCCAGAAACTTCTTCTTACTAAACTGTCTTGTACTCTAGACTTCCAAATCTTACTAGGTGAGATGGGACCTATGTAGTCTGAATGGCCATCTTGCTGAGTTCTGCCTCTGGAGGCACCTGGCCTTATTTTGAACACATGGCATTCAACCAAAGAAAAGTTAGGCACCAGCCTCTCAGTCCCTCCACTCCCAGAGACTTCTTTTGGGGTCCACATGATGTCAATTTGAAAAAAAACCAGACACATCACTGACCTGTGACGAGTAGCACACTCTGTTTCAATGTCTTCAAGATGAAATTCGGCCCAGGGATCAGGCATGTGTTTTGCTTTCTCAATGGCATGTTTCCAAGTTTCCTGCATAAGTCATACACCAGCAAGTTAGGAAAAGAACCAAACCACAGTCCAATTTAATCAGAGCAGTCTTACTTCCTTCTGAACTTCTTACTCCCTCAGATTTCTTTCCTCTTTGGGCCAGGTGTTGGTTCAGGAAAAGAAAATAATCTCACTCATTATGCTTTTCAAGAACATAGTTCACAAAAGCACCTTCAAATCATGGGTGGAGAAATGAGGTTTTCAAAAAGTGCCCAAAGGCACAGGATTTCTAGTATAATAATTTCCACACCATTTTTAAGTATAATTAGAAGTGGTTAATTAGTATAGAATTCAGCAAGTTCAATGTTACTGAGCCTGCTTTACATAGACTGACTCTCAGTTAACACAGTATCTTAGCATTGTTTTGACCTTTTGTCTTTCACTCCCTTTAACAGTCACATAATTGGTGTACCCCTATGCTGACAAAATTGGCCAAAAAAGCGACCCTTGAGTAAATATGATCCAGATATCAAGAAGACCTTTGATGTAGAGGAAAAAGCACTAACTATGGTGTCAGAGGACCCGAGTTCAAATCCTACCTCTAACACTCACTATGTGACCTTGGGTAATTCACTTCACATCCCTGCACCCTAGTATTCTCATCTGTAAAATGAGGGGATTGGAGTTGATGACCTTTTAGGTAGGTGCCTTTCATCTATACTCCTGTGATGTGATAAATAACAATTTTTGATCCAGCTTGTGACACTGAGATTCTCAGCTTGTGATTCTAGCCTAGAATTCAGCCCAGAATTCTCTACTTACCTTCACTTTGAAACAAACAAAAACTAGTTTTTGTTGAGCTCTCTATATTTATTACTTCTCTCCTCACTCCCAATTCCTTAGGCTGAAACAAATATCAAGGTTACTGGCTATGTAATTTATTAAGAGTAACAAACAAACAATAAACCAATGATATAAATAATTATTCATAATATATCAGCTACTGGGGAGGCAAGGACCAGTGGATCTCGAGTTTGGGAATTATCAGCTGCAGTGGGCTAAGTCAAATGGGTGTCTGTACTAAGCTTTGACTTTAATACGGTGGATCCCAGGGAGAGTAGGGACAGCAGGTTGCCTAATGAGGCAACTTTGGTTGAAAACAGGACAGAATGGGGCAGCTAGGTGGCACAGGAGATAGAGCTCTGGCCTTGGAGTCAGGAGGATGTGAATTCAAATCCAGTCTCAGACACATGACACTTACTAGCTGTGTGACCCTGGGCAAGTCACTTAACCCCAATTGCCAAAGCAAAAAAAAAACAAAAAAAACAAAAAACAAAAAAACAACAACAACAAAAAAGGCAAAAAAAAACACAAAAACTGGACAGATCAAAGCTCTCATCCTGATCAGTAAAGAGGGTTTGGGCCCCTGAGTAGCCGCCCTGAACTTCTAGCCTGGACAAGACGGGAAACTTGAGATGACGTTACAAAAGTGATATAGAAGGAAGACAGGAAAACAATTTACACAATGATGGAAATAACGTAAAGGAGAATGGCACTCAAAGACATGACAACGCTGATTAAATGCAGCAACCTATGTAAACTTCAGAGGACTCACAGTGAACAAACCTCGCCTACTCCTGGCAGATCATCAGTGAATTATAGGCACAAAATGAAGCTGACATTGTCGGGCATCCGTGGCCCAAGCAAGGATGTGTTTTTCTTAACTGTAGTGCTATGTTACAAGGGACAGTTACAAGAAGGTAAGGGGGTGTTCACTGGCAAGTGAGAGCAGTGTAAAAAAAAAGGCATTAATAAAACATTTAAAAATAAAAATCTTAACCCAAGAGGGTTACACTCTCCTGGTTTCCCCAAAGAAAACTTTACCATATAAGGAGAAAAGTCACCAGGGCTTAGTCATTGCCAGGTAGATTCTAGAGATAATTATCTAGTCTAAGTCCAGCCAGGACTCACAAAACTGAAATTATTTTGCAGTGGTATGTTGGTTTTAGAGAACTACTCATTGATTGCATTTTCCCAAAGCAGAAGAGAAAAGATGCCATTCCACAAAGGCTCCTTTCAGTCTCTGTTTTCAAAAAGGCCTTTATACTCCTTCTAGGAATTATTTTTTCACTAACTTCCCTTTAATTATTCTTCCTACCCAGCTCCAACCAGGGCTGGCTATAAGGTATCAATTCACCATTCAATTCAGCATTTTTTTTAAAGCTCTTACTTTATGTAAAACACTGCTAGGTTTAGTGGTGGCATAGGATTGGGAACCTGAGAGAGTCCCATCAATAATGGAATGGCTGAACAAATGATGGCATGTAAATGATCACATATTGTGTAGTAAGAAATCATGAAGAGGATGGTTTCAGAGAAACCTGGTAAGACTTGTATGAACTGTTGCAGAGTAAAGGGAACAGAACCAGAAGCAATATTGTCAAGACAAACAACCTCCAATTTTAGGAACTCTGATCAACACAGTAACCAATTATGATTCCAGAGGACTCAAGAGGAAAAATGCTAACACCTGGGGAGTCAGAGGACATATAAATTTTTTGGACATGGCCAATAATGGATTTTGTTTTGCTTGATTACATGTTTTTAATGGGGTCTGTGTTTCTTGGGGTGGAGGAAGGGAGAGAAGGAGATAGGAGGGAGAAAATCTGAATCTGAAAATAAAATAAAATTTAATTAAAAAAAACACAAAAATACCATGCTAGGCCCTGGGATTACGATGACAAAACAGGCTAATGATCGTATTATATTCTGTAATATCTACAATAATACCTCTCCTTCCCCATTTATTTAGAGGGAACAAATATACCAATCTTTCCCAAGATATCTTATAATTAACAGTAATTGAAAAAATAAGTAACTGAAATGTCTGTTTGGACTAAAAAGAGTGATCCCGCTTGCGCCTGATGGACTTTTTAAATTAATTTTTTTTCAATCAACAAAAATCAGACTTCTCTCTCTCTTACCTTCTCCCCTCCCATTGAGAAAGAAAAACAAAATCCTTGTTGGAAACATGTATATTCAAGCAAAGCAAATTAATATTTTGTTCATGTCCAAAAATGTATGCCTCAATCTGCACCCTAAAAGTCCATCATTTTTCTCTTCAGAGATAGGTAGCAAGTTTCAAAATCAGTCTTTTGGAATCATGGTTGGTCACCGAGTTAATTAGAGTTCTACAGCCTTTTTTTTTTTGTATTTTGTCTTTATTGTTATTTATTGTTATTATTTAAATTGATCTCCTTGTGTTCATTTCACTGTTATCAGTTCATACAAATTTTCCCAAGTTTCTCTGAAACCATCTCTTCCATCATTTCTTATAGCATAATGGTTTTCTATACCATTCATATACCATAATCCATCTAGCCTTTTCCCAACTGAGGGGCTTTGATGAACTTTCCATGGTTTTAAAGTCTCAGAATCAGAGACTTTTTGGAATGGGCTTTACAACGTGTCTAGACCATCCTTATATCCTCTGAAAGCACTTGACTGTGCAACATACTTCTCAGGGTTGGACATCGTTTCTCCCTCAACTTTGGTTACATACATCACACAGCCACCATAAAAAATGGTTCCCCTCCAGTTAACTGTCTCCATTTTATATTTGGAAACAAAAGTAACATACTAACAGTAATATCCACTATTTCTGTAACCTTGATCTAGTTCTTAGATCTAGAGCTAAAAGGGCTCTCAAAGCTAATCTAATCCAATTCTTTCATTTTATGGATTTTAGAGAAAGAAAAAAAAACCAAACCCACCAACTCATGAAGGTTATGCCTCATGCCCAAAGTCACAAAAAGGCAGCTAAGTAGTATAGCTGAGAGAGTACTAGATATGGAATAAAGGAATTGAATTAAAATCTGGCTTCAGGCACTTACTATGATCCTGATCAGATCACTTAACTTCCTTCTGCCTCAGTTTCCCCATCGATAAAATGATAATAATAATAATAATTATTATTATTATAGCACTTACCATGTCTCTGGTTGTTATATAAGGATAAAATGAATTATTTGTGAAGTTCTTTGCAAGCCTCAAAGTGCTATATAAATGCTAGCTATTCTGTTTTGTTTTTGTTTTTTTTTTTTTTGGTGAGCCAATTGGGGTTAAGTGACTTGCCCAGGGTCACACAGCTCTGAGGCCAGATTTGAACTCAGGTTCTCCTGACTCTAAGGTGCTCTATCCACTGTGCCACCTAGCTGCTTCAATGCTAGCTATTCTGAGTAAGAGTCAGAGGTGGAATTTAAACCCAGAGCCTGTGTTTTTTCCACAACAATTCTATCTACGAAGTTTCAATTCTATCAATTCCTCTCATCACCCTGATTTCAAGAGATGCTCTAATCAAGCCAATGACCAACCATGATTTCAGGGGGCTGACTACGCTATTTATTTATTTATTTATTTATTTCTGGTGAGGCAATTGGGCTTAAGTGACTTGCCCTGGGTCACACAACTCTGAGGCCACATTTGAACTCAGATCCTCTCGACTCCAGGGCCAGTGCTCTATCCACTGCGCCACCTAGCTGCCCTTAGGGCTACCCACCTCTGAAGAGAAAGATGATGGACCTTGAGGGTGCAGATCAAATAATCTTTTCCTCCTTTGGGGACGAGCAAATCTAATAAAAATATCTAATATATCACAAATATCAAGTATATAACATAATCTAACTCTAAATCATTTAATATTTGACTCAAACTCTACCCCCTAAGTAAGTGAAGGGAAAAGTTTTTCTAAAATTGATGTTATCAATATCAATGTGAAGTTAATTTCTGCTTTATTCTCTACAACATAGAAAGAAAACAACTTTCCATTTTAAGGTTAGTGAAGGCTCCAAGTTTAGTGAATGAAAATCATTATGCAAATCTTGCTAAAACTAAGAAGAGCCCCAGACAGCCTCAAATGACAACAAGCAACTCTTACAGTAGCTGTGACCTAACTGTTTTAATTAACTTTTTTTTTGTTTTTATATCATCTTCACTGCCAAATATGGCCCTCCTACCCATTCCTTATAATAGAATTTTTAAAA